TATTTAGTGCTCAATTAGTAAATTTGAATTCCGTAATTAATTTGGTTAACCGTCTTTATAAAAATTGTAATACGCTAAAGAAATGTTTAAAGGTCAAATTATGGCCAGAAAATTATTAAAGCAATAACGATGAAATTTATATTAGGGCTTCCTTAGTAGAGGTTAATTCTTCAATCACCTTTGTAGCCGAATTTAAGAATAAAAAGTTATTTGCGAAAAACAAATAATGACGACGTGCCAAAATAAAAACTATAGTAATACCAAACATCCGGTTTTCGTCATTATTTAGTGCTCAATTAGTAAATTTGAATTCCGTAATTAATTTGGTTAACCGTCTTTATAAAAAATTGTAATACACTAAGTAATATGAAAATATATAAAATTATAAAATATGTAATAAAACCTAATTAAAAAATTATAATTTATAATTATATAATTAAAAATAAAATTCTCTATAATTGAGTCCTCAAAAATGAACCATAATTGTGTCTAAAAATTTCTATTTTAATTTTTTGTCGAATAAAAAGGAATTCTCATGGTTCATTTGTGAAAAGTCGTATTTTATTACACAGATTTTTTAAAAACATAAATGTTGAAGGCAAAAAATGCCCGTTAGTAGAAATCACTACTGGAGTGAATATGAAGTTTTTAAAATTTTTGTATTTGTTTGTCTTTTTAATTTCTGCCTGTGTTATTAAATTGAAATTTATGTTTGAAGGGAATGATGAGACACACGTGTAGTCCCAATGAGTGATTTGCCGAGGGCCCAAGATATGGTTGTCATACCATCAGGTCTTAAACCATCTACTTGAGATAAATTTGATGGTTCAAGATTGTTTGGAATGTGTGCAGCTGTTAGGCTTCTATTTATTATATGGTTTACAGCCGAGTGTTGATTTATTAATCACATGTGGGAAATTCTATGGTTAATTTTTTGATTACTTGTAAATTTTTATAGTATGTAACACATTTCCATAATGTGATTTGTGAAACATTCTTATATAGTTAAATAACTTTCCATAATTATTGTAAAAAACATTTTAATTTTGATATAATTTTAAAAAAATTTTTTTAATAAAGACGAACGTCAAATTTATGAATCGAATATAATTTTATAATGTTTTGGTCTAAAATTTTCTTAGGCGTCGAGAAAGGTGTCAGAAAATTTGAAGGATTAATATGGCAGTAATTTATCGAATCAGGGTAACTCAGAATTCCTGCATAAGTATTAGTGATCTGCATCGGGTCTAATTTTTCAAGCCCGGCCCGGTCCGAAATTTTTTTAAAAAAGTTTTGCCGGCCCTGCCCGAACCAGAATTTTTTTTTAAAGAATTTACCAACCCGGCCCGGCCATGCCGAATTTATTTAAATATAGAAAATAATTTTTATAATTACTCAAAATAAAAGACATATGTTATATGATGTCTAGTTTATATAAATAAAATCAAATATTTTTATTTTACATAAAAAATTCAATATATAATTCATAAATTTAGATATATTTAAAAAAATTTCTAGGCCCAACCCTACCCGGCCCTTTTATTAAAAATATTAGGCCCGAACCCGATTTATTTAAAAAAAATTAGGCCTGAGCACGGTTCGACGGGTACTTCATAATATTGTGATCTTAATATAACTAAAATTTATGATAGGAATAAATATATCCATAATTTTTTCGAATAAAATAAAACTATGTAAAAAGAACAATTTGAATTAAGAATAAAAAATTTCTGAGAATGTTTTTAACCATAGCATTCAATGACACCTCAGAATAATAGATGCTGGAGAAAAAATGTAGTTGTTACAATAAAATAATAAAAATTATATAATTATTACACAAGAATGGGGTTCAATGGACCCATTTAGGCAGTAGTGGAAATAATATTCTGTGACTTGGTTATAGCTATTCATGTATTTTGGCAACCTTAATATATATAAGCATCTGAAACATTATATTACTCAAATATGGCAGATGATCTACCGAAACAATAGATAGGTTAAGTGCAAAAAGACAGTATGCATTTTTTAATTACTTGGGGTTTTTAATCTAACTAATTAGGGTTTAAATTTTACAAAATAAGTACTAAATAATGGTGAAAATAAAATGTTTGTCGCTGATAGATTTTTTGTTTATTTTGTTAATAACTTTTTTATTTTAAATTAGGCTATTAAACTAATTGAAGCACTAACCTCTACAAAGGAAGCTCTAAAGAATTATATAAATTTCATTGTTAGTGCTTTTATAATTTTCTGGCCAAAATTTAACCTCTGATCTATAGTTTTTGTTTTGGCACGTCGCCATTATTTGTTTATTTTTGTTTTTTTCGCCAATAACATTTTATTCTTAAATTCGGCTACAAATGTGATTGAAGCACTAAACTCTAATAAAGAAGCACTAAAAAATGAAAGTTCGGCCAACTTCACGCTTAAATCGTGACGTCAATATTTTTATTTAGCCTATAACTTTTTTTCCATATGGCGGTTAACCAAATTAATAACGGAATTTAATTACATTAATTAAGCACTAAATAATGGCGAAAACCGGATGTTTAGTACTACTCTAGTTTTTGTTTTGGCACGTCGCCAATATTTGTTTATTTTTGTTTTTTTCGTTAATAACGTTTTATTCTTAAATTCGGCTACAAATGTGATTGAAGCACTAAGTGCTTCCAAAAGTTCGGCCAACTTCACGCTTAAATCGTGACGTCATAATTTTTATTTAGCTTATAACTTTTTCCCATATGGCGGTTAACCAAATTAATAACGGAATTTAAATACATTAATTAAGCACTAAATAATGGCAAAAACCGGATGTTTAGAACTACTCTAGTTTTTGTTTTGGCACGTCGCAAATATTTGTTTATTTTTGTTTTTTCGTTAATAACTTTTTATTCTTAAATTCGGCTACAAATGTGATTGAAGCTCTAACCTCTACTAACGAAGCACTAAAGAATGATATAAAAAGTTCGGCCAACTTCACGCTTAAATCGTGACGTCATAATTTTTAGTTAGCTTATAACTTTTTTCCATATGGCGGTTAACCAAATTAATAACGGAATTTAAATACATTAATTAAGCACTAAATAATGGCAAAAACCGGATGTTTAGAACTACTCTAGTTTTTGTTTTGGCACGTCGCAAATATTTGTTTATTTTTGTTTTTTCGTTAATAACTTTTTATTCTTAAATTCAGCTACAAGTGTAATTGAAGCACTAACCTCTACTAACGAAGCACTAAAGAATGATATAAAAAGTTCGGCCAACTTCACGCTTAAATCGTGACGTCATAATTTTTATTTTTTCCATATGGCGGTTAACCAAATTAATAACGGAATTTAAATACATTAATTAAGCACTAAATAATGGCTAAAACCCGATGTTTAGTACTACTCTAGTTTTAGTTTTGGCACATCGCCAATTTTTGTTTATTGTTTTTTTCGCCAATAACTTTTTATTCTTAAATTCGGCTACAAAAGTGATTGAAGCACTAACCTCTACTAACTAAACACTAAAGAATGATATAAGTTTCATCGATAGTGCTTTCAGTCAACTTTTAGGCGTAAAGTTGGCACAAATTTTTATTTTGCTTAACTTTTTTTCCTTAAATTCGGCTACTATACGGATTAAAGCACTAACGAAGCACTAAAAAATGACATATGATTCATCGTTAGTGCTTCCAAATGTTCGACCAACTTCACGGAGCTCATTTTTTGATTCCTTTTAATAAGCTATATATGATTCTAAGTTCATTTTTTATAAATTAAGCTTCTTTGATAGAGGCCGCGTATTCTAGTCATGTGAAAAATTATTTTTTAAAATTTTTTTTATGTTATACCATTTAAAAAAAAATTAAACAAACAATTTTTAGATAATCTTATAAATCATACGATTCTATATTAATATAATTTAAATTAAGCTTCTTTGATAGGGGGCGCGTAGTGTCCGAGGGAGCGTATTTTAGTCATCTCATGCCCCTTTTTTGATCAAATTATGCAACACTACACTACCCCTATTAAAAAGGCTCTAATTTTAAAAAATAATATAGAATCCTGTTTAGCTTATCGAGATGATATAGTAAATGTTATATATATTTAAAAAAACTGGTAAATTAGTACAATATCATAAAAACACTTTTTGGATATCTAAAATACACATCCTCGATAATTATGTGCTATTTTTAAAAAATGAATGCAGAATCATGTTTAGCTCATTAATGGGATTTAGTATTAATATTTTTTTTCAATCATACTATGAAATTCATCCAAGGTCTCATAATATATGTACTAAGTTTTAAAAAAAAGGAATCTAACCAATCTAGCATATTTTCAGAAAATTTGGAGGAGCTTATATTATTTTTTGTTAAATTTTAACAATTTTTATCTCAATTTTTCTAAAAAAATAATAATATTAAAATATTTTCAGGATATTAAAATAAAATAGACCCCCCCCCCTACCCCCCTAATAACCTAAAAGATTATTTTTAGTTACTACTAAATACAGTGTTAAATCAGTATTTTATTTATTTTTAATGATCGAGACTGTCACCTTTGCTTATAGTCTAGTTGACCTCGCTTGCCAATCCGGTAGTTATAGAATCCAATTAATTCTTTTTTCTTAACCCTTCACTACAAAAGTGGGGTAAATAATACCCCACGGCTTTTATAATCTTGGTAATAAAAAAACCTGAAGATATTTTGACCTAGTTTTTATAGTAGTTTAATATTTTCTTATAAAAAATATACCTACCAAATTTCAAGATAATTGATTTGATATTTTTTAAAATATTTGCAATTTGTTGAGCTTGGGGTAGTATACGTCCCACCTTTGTACTTATTATTTTTCTTTTTCACAATTTTTTTTTATTGATAAATATTATTGTATATTACAAACTAATATATAAAATTGAAAAAAAAAATTTTATTTGTAAATTTTTCATTGTTATATTGTTACTCAAAATTTTAAAATTTTATACTAATTTTTTTTCTTGTGGAGTAAAATACTATAAAATTAGCATATGGAAAATTTAATATCATCAAGTTCTGGAAGTATTTTCTATTTAATATTTGATATTTATAAAATTTATATAGGTGAAGTAGATTTTGAGTCAGATGATGATTATTTGTATAACAGCAATCACAACTTGGAGACAGAGGAGGACAATATAGATAGTGATGTGTGTGAAGATAGCTATAAATATTGTTACAGTAAAATATGCTAGTCTTTAATAAATTATATAAAAATATGAAGGTAAAGATGGAAAAACTAAATGGAATATGGAATGCCCAACACAAAAAAGGACAAGATCCCATAATATAATATCATGTTTGCCAGGGGTTAAATCTCATGCAAAAAATGCAAAATCACCATTAGAAAGCCTCAAATTATTCATTTCACCTAATTACAGATTTAGTTTTAAAATATAAAAATCAAAAGATTGAGTCCATTGAAAAAGATGACTCTGTTTATCACGCCAAAATGGATGAAAATGAATTGAATGCCTTAGTTGGTTTGCTAATGATAGCCGGAGTTTATAAATATCAAAATATAAGAGATTTATGGAATAAAGATGGATTTGGTGTTGATATATTTAGATATACTATGAATATAAATAGATTCCAATTTCTATTGAAAGTGCTTAGATTTGATGATATGAATACAAGAAATACAAGGAAAGCACTTGATAAAGCAACACATATTAGAGAAATTTTTGATATTTTTAATGATAATTCTTATTCTGTTGGACAATATGTTACTATTGATGAAATGCTTCCTGCATTCAAAGGAAAATGTCCATTTAGGCAATATATGCCAAATAAACTGAAAATATATGCTCTAGTTGATTCTAGAACTTTTTATACATTAAAAACAGAATTATATACTGGCAATCAGCCAGAAGGGCCATATAAATTGTCAAACAAGCCATTTGATGTAGTTGAAAGACTAATTCAACCAATTTCAAAAAGTAATAGAAATATTACAATGGACAATTGGTTTACTAGCTATGAATTAGCTAATTATTTATTATCTTCATATTCCCTAACAAAAGTAGGGACTATTAAAAAAAATAAAAAGCAGTTACCTGCATTATTTTTCAATAAAAAAAGAGAAATATATTCAAGTTTATTTGGATTCAAAGAAAATACTACTATTGTTTCATATATACCAAAAAGGTATAAGAAGGTAGTGTTGCTTTCAACACTACATTATGATAATAAAATTGATGTAACAACTGGTGAATTGTTAAAACCAGAAATTATAACTTTTTATAATTTAACCAAAGCAGGAGTTGATGTAGTGGATCAACTTTGCTCAATATATTCCATATCTAGGAGATCAAATAGATGGCCACTTACCATTTTTTATACTATGATAAATATTTCAATAATATATGCCCTTATAGTTTATAAAGCCAATAATTTGTTGACTATAAAAAGGTCTAAATTTATAAAATTATTAGCTATGGAACTGATAACTCCATTTATGACCAGTAGATACGAGAACCCTCGTATATGTAGACTATTACGTAACAACATAGGGGCCGTTCTCAACATAATTGATGAAAAACATATTCCAATAAATAAAAAGGGAAGATGTTATGAGTGTCCAAGGGTGAAAGATACATTAATTTGCTTAAATTGTTCAAAATTTATTTGTAAAGATCATATGCATACAATTTGCCGCGAATGTTATCTCAAAATTTTACATGATATATGATCATTAATATTTTTTTTGATATATGATATTTTTTTATAAAATTTATGTAATTATCATTATTCAACATTGATTTAATGAAATTTGCATTTTTTGAATTTTATTTAGTGATAATACCATAATTAAAGGAAGTACTCAAAAAGAAAATTTTATTTCAGTAACTTTAGGAAAATTTGTCTAACTTTTTTTTGGAAGTAAATATTAATCTAAGATTTTGTATTTATTATCTCCAAAATATATACTCAAAATTTTAGATCTCAATTTTTAATATATTCTGAGATATAGCTAATCAAATTTTGGGGTAAAATATGACCCCACCTTTGTAGTTAAGGGAGTTTTTTCCACCTTTGTAGTGAAGGGTTAAACTAAATTTGTTGTTCCGTGTCGAGTGTAAGAGGGTATCATCAGGATTCACTCGATTCCATAACTTCCATGAATTTACTACTGTTACATCGCTTAGGCCACCACCATTTTTACCTCATATTCTATATGTTGACACTAGGTTATCGCACAGATCAACGCTACCTATATGGGAATTTTAGCAATTTATTAGATTAGGTTGTGTAATTTTTATTTTTGAAAAACATTCGAGAGAATCTTGATACGTTGCATAGAGTGCTAAGAGCTTTACATATTGATGCAACTGTCACCACAGAACTATCATTCCATCGAACTACAAATATTTCATATGTCTTTTCAAATCGGTAGTCGTAATAGCCCCTCTAATTTTTTTTTGCCATAACTTTAATTGTTTCTAGGAGAAAATTTTTAATATTTCTTATAGTCCCAGTTGCGAAAAATCCAAGATGTTTCAAATATGATAAAAACCTTAGAGTGTAAAAAAATTTATAGAAATAAATAGAATGCAAAGAAGGTACTTAAATTTGTAATAACCGTACCGCCTAATCCAAGATTCGAAGCCATTGGGCTTTTATTATTACCTTGATATATTAAATGAAAATATATATTCATTGGAGTAAGCAGGGTTAATGATTTATATTCAAATCGAATGGGTTTACCTTTGATAAACATTTTAAAGGAATATATTCCTCGATACGAGATTATTTGCTCATCTATGCATAAATTATGTAAAAATATACCGAATTGTTGAAACTTTTATTTAGTAAATTTAAATATGGGCGGACTTTATACAGATTATCTTCTTTATCAAAAGTTGAGTTATTAGATAAATGTAGATTCCTTTTGAAATCGCGAAATGTATCTTGCAGTAAGGAATGATATTCAGTCAGCAAAAAATGATTTGGTCTATTGTTTTGTATAATAATTATGTGATTGATCCATAAGCAGTGAATACATTTCTTGATCAAAAAATAATTCAAATATTTCTATTGGAGTTTTTCCGATCAAATCAAATTGAAATTCGATAATAATTCATTATCATTATCAGTAGGTTTTGATATGTAAATTGGATCAATTTTTCTTCATTTTAAATTATTTCGAAAATTTAATTTGCTTTCTTATTTTGTTGATATTGAGGTTTCTGAGACAATATCAATGTCTGCTGGATATTGGATTTTGATTTCACCTGCAGTGGAAGATTCTGTGTTTCAGCTAGATCGTTTTCATCTCTTCATCACTAACTAAAGTAGCATTAGGAGGTATAATTAGAGATAATAAATAATTTTTATATTAAAATGAAAAAATATAATGAGAATAAGAATAAAATTATGAATATTTTTTTTATAAGTAATATAAATATTATGATGAAAAAATAGTATTTTTGTTTAGTAAGAATACAAAAAAAATTTATAATAAAATATGCCAAATTTTTTTTATATAATTTTTTTAGAGAAATTGTTTTTTTGAACCCTTATGTGGTCAACGTTGCATAAATGATTTAGTAAAAACATATGATTATAAATCCGAATAGAATGATGGGCCAAAATTAATTAGAATAGGTTAAGGCATCTATAAGAAATAAATTTATGTCAATTGCATTAAATAAAAATAAATACTTTTTCAACGAATGAAACGTTTGACATTTTAATAGTCCAAAATTGTCGAACTTCAATGGCATCTAGCGCACTCAAAAATAAATATTTAAGCGTTTAATATTACATTGCATCCCAGAAATAAAAACTGGCTTATTTATAAATTTGGGTAGTATATAACTAATGCACCAAGCATCATTAATTAAAAAAAAATCGATCAATTTGTTGGTGAATTTTACATGAAATCACCAATTAATTTTTTAATTACATTTTATTCCAATAGATAAAGTAATTAGATTATTTAAAAAAGAGTCTTTCTTTTTCCTCTGGAGCCTAGATTATTGCCAGAATCATTCTAGTCTATATAAAGCAGGGTTGGGTAGTAACACTAATACTTATAATTAAAATAAAATACTTTTTTTGCATTTAATATTTATTTGAATATTTTAGAAAGTATTTAGTATTTGTTTTAAATAATAAAAAATAAGTAGTATTTTGTATTTATTATGATTTCACCATCAGACGAAATATAAATACTTTTTTTTTAAATTATAAAGACTTATGGATTATTTTTTAAAACAAAAATTTATAATATAAATATAGTGATCAAGCTAAATGTAATATCTACTAAAAAATAAAACCAAAATCGTAAATGGAGCGATTTCATCCTTTAGCGATTTAATATACGATCTGCAAAACCATGATGTTAATTATATTTTTTGAAATTATTACATAATTTCTGATATACTGCTGTAATAATAAATATTATATTTATAATGTTTGCATATTACTGCAGATATAATTTTAGAAATTGGTAATATAAAAATTATTTAAGTAAAAAATAAATTGATGCTGTGATAAAAAAAATGGATTTGCAAAAAGTTTTCGTCAAAGTATTTATTTGTGCAAAAAGTTTTCGTCAAAATATTTGTATTTAAATACTTTTTTGAAAATATTTTATAGGTATTTAGTATTTATATTTAAAACATTTTTTTAAAACGTATTTGTATTTATATTCAAATACCTTCTTTAAGTGTATTTGTATTTATAATCAAATACAATTTTTTTAGAATTTGCCCCCTGATATAAATACCTTGTGAATTTTAGATCGTTTTTTTAAATTTATATGGGAAATCTATAATATAAAAATTAATATAAATTAGCCTTTTCAAAAACACATCGAAATTTGATTCGTTTTAAATAACCCTAATCGAATAAAATAGTACGAATAAGCATTATTAACATTTGTCGTTTCTATTGATAACCTCAATCTAACTTATGTAAATTAAATTAATATGCATTGATTTCGTTATTACATCATCGCATATTCTTTATCATAGATTTATTATAATACAATAATTTTTCTGTAATTTTATAGTTCTGCAAAAACAAATTTTTCGAATAATTAGAGTTGAATGCAAATAATAAATTTTAATTCGTTTAACCTAAGTTAAAAATCGAATGCGAATAATGCAAAAAAATAGTTCTTAATAGTTTTCCGCAAAATTATCTCAAATTTATTGGGTAGGTATTCTAAAGATATTGGAATATGTTTCCAGCGGAATCAGGGCTTTAAAATTGAAAAACTTGTGCACACTCGAAATATCCAACTTTTTTAGGAAATTTTATCTAGGCATACTCGATTTTTGGCCTTCTATTTTTTAAGATTATGCCCTCAAACCCTCTCTAGAAACATAATATAATAATTTTTTATATATGCCATACTCTTATAAATTAAGTTATTTATTCAATAATTGAATTATATAATTTCATAGATGTATTTCTTTATTTTTGAAAATTTAATAATTATCAAATCTTTTTATCAAGACTCTAAAATTATTTTATGAATTTTATAACAGTAACCATATGGCTGGATCTTTCTTCATATTTAGTAATATAGTCTAGTTAAAATCTTGTTTGATTCAGGCTTTAGCCATATTAGGTATAGTCATGCACAACTTTTTATTATAAGCTGTTTAAGTGTTCTCAAAGATCTTCATCTTTTAAAATGCAATAAAATGAATAAACATTACACGCTTGGAAAAGATTTTAAAAAATTGTATTTAATCTATTAGATTTGACACAATTGATTGAATGATAAAGATAACAAAATAAGTGTAACAGAAGTATCTCTCAAATACAAAATAATTGAGAAAATTTCCATATTATTTAATAAGATTTTTAATACTTTTAATCATTGAAATATTTATAATTTACAACAAAATAGGATCTGTTTGAGGAAATGCGGAGGGATTTCAACAAGATTTTAAAGGAGGTATATACCGAACCCTTACCTAAAGATGCTTTAAGTTCTGATATACATTTAATGCAATTTGGGCGCGTGCATTCATTTGTAGGTGATAACACGGTAGTTGTATCTTCGATGATCGATAAACCAGCTTTAGGCGAAGGCTCTGTCCTCTTCAACTCTCATAGACAACCCTTAGGGCCTATTCTAGAAATCTTTGGGCCAGTCACATCCCCATTGTACGTTGTTATACTCGGGCAAACGGTATCTTCAAAAATTTCGACGATCGACGACTGCTTCGAAAATGGAAAAACAGATGGTGTTAAAAATGATGATAATATGATCGATATGAAAGATGAAGTGATAATATTGTCGGATGAGGGGGCTAACATTCTATCAAAAGATGTAACCACTCATACAGACATCTACGATAATGTTAATAATGATGCTAATATAATCGATATGAAAGATGAAGTGATAATATCGTCGGATGAGGGGGCCAACATTCCATCAAATGATATACCCTCTCATATAGACGATAATGCGGGTGATCAAGTTTTATTTCCAATCTCCTGTGATACACATACAATTATGGATATCGACACTGAACCAGAGCAAATTACTTATAAACTTGGAGAAATTATATATTATGCTCCATTTATTAAGGAATATACAAGATTTTTGTTTCCCTCTCAATTCTTAAAGTATAATTTTAAAAAGGTGATTTGACATAGAGGTGTGCAACTGGCGGAGGGGTTAAATAGTTATAAAACAATAATTTAATATTTCTCGGAAAAAGGAGCGATTAAAATTTATTTTATTATATCATAATGCATATTTTATAAGGTTAAGTAAAAAATTATAAAGAGCCAAACCAATCAATCAAGTAATTTTAAACGTTGGACACGTTAAATTTTTTTAAAACAATGGCGAGTGAAAAAATATAGAAGCGAGTTAAAACCTCGCCCATTGCAGACCTCTAATCTAATATGTAGTTTTTTACTTAAATAGTTTAATACATTCGGATATTATTGTATATATCCAACTTTTAATAAAACACTATAAGGAAGATTAGAATAAAGCAAATGAGCTATTTATAAAAATGATTCTATGATTACATCATATTTTTATATTGCATTTTATAAATTAATATTATTAAGGATTAAAGGATCAGATGCATCATGGAAAAATGACATCGAGCCTCCTGATGAATGTAAAGATTTTTCTGACGATGAACAAGAGAGAAGTTTTAAAAAAAATTTACGCAAACCCCAAATAAACAAATCATGGTGAATTTCATTTATTATTATTTTTTGATAGAATTATATTGTTAATGGTTAATTTATATCAGTAGCGTTATTAAAAATTTGCACAAGTAGAAAATATTTTAAGCTTGTCAACTGCCGGTTTTTATATCTCTTTTATCTACACAACGCTTAATCCTAGCAATCAAATTTTACCGGTTTTTATATCTAATTAACCCATTAAGAAAAGGGTATATAAGCAGGCTTCAAAATAATGATCTAAGCGTCAATTTTTACTAGGGTTAACATAGTTTATCAAATTGATTTAAATCATAATTATTCATTAATTTTTTTGAATAAAAATTACAACTCAAAATCGTTTTCCTTTTTAGTTTGTAACTGAAATAATTGTTAGTTTTTTATTTTTCCAAGTTAATCCTGAAATTAATTTTTTAATTTAATACTCTTAATTTTTTTTAAAGCCATATTTATCTATCATTTACAGTTAATTTAAAGTTTTTTAAAAATAAATTAAATATATATTAGCATTTGAAAATATATAAAGCAAAGGAGCAAAAATAATTGGTAATGATTTATCCCATAGCGCTGAGAATGCGGATGAAATCAATCGACAGACCTCAAAAGATATGTTGCTTTGGTATAAACCTTCGTTCGAGTTCCCCATTACTTGAATATGAGTATTGGAATGAAGAGAATTTTATATAAATGTGAATATTTGTTTCTGTTTAAAATTTCCGCCTGGGATGATCATTTTGATTTCGTGAAAAAAGTTTATGCATACGAATCGCCATGAGGTGGTCATTTGCATAAGGTATGAGAGTTATACCATTGTTTCTTTGATTATTATGGGGAAAAGCTCGATAGGCTCTTAGATAGAATGAATTTATCCTTTTCAATGATAGTTCGGACATCCTGAGGAATAATTATAATGTTAGGATTGGTATGCTTTTACGGTGATAGGCTGACTACAATCTACACATATGGTAAGCGTTAAAACATAGAAACTGAGGTGCGGGGCTATTGATATTCTAAATTGATCTGCTGATAAATCCAAACCAAGATTATAACTAGGGGTGACTTCCATCCTGATAAGTTGTTGTCCACTCTAATAGATAAGTAACTTTGGATTAGAATAATAAGATACGGTAATCTGGCTATATCGAACGAAAGATGATTGAGTAAGAGTACCTTAATGGAAATAAGGAGATCTAGACCTCGAAAAAACCCAAGACAACGTGAATTATTGATAAAGGATGACATGATAAAAATGGATCTTACGAATAGCGATGCAGGGGAGCATAAAAAACGGAGAATAGGTATCAGAAGAAAAATTGGTATACCGAGTAAACCTGGAAAATTAGCATTAAACGAGAAAACCAGAGCGGTTTTTATAGATGTTGGACGTTTGATTGGATAAATAACATTGATATTCTATTTCTCCAGACCTAGACTTAGATACAACATTATCATTTATGGGATCAAAATTGGCTTGAGCAGCTAACCTTGAGGAAATGAAGGTGGATAATGAAAGTGTAAATGAAGAGCGAATACCAATACCTCCTGATTTATATAGGAGAGTGATGTCAAAAAATAATTGATTTTCAAATATCGAATGGATTCTAAGTTATTTATAAAATAGCTATTTTTTAAGAACAAATTAATATTAAGACTTGAGATTTTATTGAAATATATTTTTAGATCCTTTTTATTTATTATGACCAAATTTGGAGAAATTATATAAATTCTTTAAGATATAATGAAAAATAAGCGTTGCATATATGTAACGGGCGTCTGTGGGTTAATAAATCTCAAGATTATTAATTTAATTATTTTACTACTATATTTTTATATGAAATTGACAAAATTATGTAAGCCAACAAGCACACCAATTTCTCGCACGGAATCCCACCAATGATAAGCATTTGCCTAATGCCTACCAAAACAACCAAAAATTTAAAAAACGAAACAACAGACCATCCACAATTAGCGATGATTCTATTAATAATCGCCAAGGAATCGACGATATGATAAAAACATTAGTCAGGGGAGAACCTATCAAAAATGTCAGTAGCAATTATTCGGGTATTAATAGTGAAAATTTGAAAAATAAAATGAAACAAGGCATGGAAAAATTTGTAAAAGCGGGGCGAAATTCTGACGCCTTAAATTTGAATCTTTTAACTTTCGCCACTCAATTACCTTATATGATGCAACCTATATACGTTCCTTTTCCTGTACCATCTTACCCCCCACATCCCTTAAATAATGTTATTACACATAGTAAAAAGGAAATGGTTAATAATGATATGCTCGCTGAAGATATTTTGCGTCACGAAAATTATGGAGATGAAGGGCCACCTTGTTTAAAGAACGTACCTTTTGAATAATTTGATTTTTATTTTCTCTGATATAAACAGTAATCAATTTATTATATATATGTATACTAATATCACTTACCTAAGTTGTGCGGCATTTTTCAATCTCTAATTATTAAATAATAAAGTAAATCAATTATAAAAAATTTAAATCGTATGTTAAAGCGAGCTTTATATAAATTGTGAATTTTTAAAAAATTGTAATCAAATCTTTTTTTAAAGAAGATATTCTTAATTTATAATCGAACATCTATTATAGTTGAATATTTTTTTACAATTAATATTAATAAAATATGTCTACCATGCCATTTAATGAGAAATTTATGCATAAAAAATAGGATGATATATTTTTATATAGCTAGAAAGATAAAACCCATTCATTAGTTTAAAAAATTGCAAAAAATGTTTTGGATCATACCTGGATTCAAGGAATTTGAACCTAGACTAGGGTTAAGGAATATAAATTAATTTGAATTCAAAATAATGGTAATTAGAGGTAGGCGCGGGTCTTGAAACTCTTCGTGATAGAAGGGTCACATCGTGAGTGAACGAATTACCGACCATAATTGGGCGTGACGGACTTTTTCAAAAAATCACTAGGCATGAATATAAATTTTTTAATTGTGTTTTTAGGAATATAATCGAATAAGTATTTTGAAAAATTAATATCTCTGAAACTATCATTCTTTATATATATTATAAATAAAACAGCCCCCCCCCCCCCCCCCCCCCGAAAACTCCTTTAAAAGACTATCAAGATTTGATCTATATTTTTCAGAAAATTAACCAGTAAATTTTGTCAGCCTTAGCTAGTTCTGTTTCCAATGGGTGATTATTTTTTATAACTAATAATAGTTTATCAAATGAAAGCCGAACGCAACTAAAATAAAAATATACTGGCATTCTTCATTATTTTTAAATAAGAATTTTGACTTATAAATATGTAATACTTTTTAAAAAGCAGACATAATTTACACCAATTATATCATTTTTAATTTTAATTAATTTATAAAAGTAAAATAAATAAATTTCAAGAAATAAGAAATAAATATAGCGCTATCTTTATTTCTTTTTTTTTATCGGGAAATTTTTACATGAATTTTTTTAAAAAAATTTATGAAAATTAATTATTTTTTTTTGAGTATCTGCCACTGGTATCGGTTAAAATTGAAAGTACATTTTCTATTTCAATCTTGAACTAGTGAGAGTAATTCCACAAATCAATAATTTTCAGCCTGCTCTCTTTTTTGATAAAAATTAAGATAAGCCATAAAATAATGATGCTAAAAAATTAGGTGTCATTTTATAAATATAAAAAAGATTTAAATTAACAATGTTGGGGCTTATGTTTACGTTATAAATTATAAACCTGAATAAGCTCTATGTGTTTCGCTGTCCAAATTTCCTTGAATTTAATATTTTTTTATTTATTTGTAAAAATTATTTAAAATTAGGCCACCCTTGGTTTTTTTTATTATTTTTAAAATTAAAAAATAAAAATCGTTTAAATAGATGGTGCTCTCTTATAAATTAACGTCATTTTATTAAAAAAAATTTCCATTTTTAAACATAAAAAAACAAGAGTTGCTAGCTTAATATCATGAAATGATATTAATTCTGAGACGATTAATAAAGCATGATTTTCGGCATACTCCTTTCGATTTTTATAAAAGATTGTATGCAGACTCATGTAATCTATATTTAAGCATAATTTAACCTCCTAGATTTTATACTTTTGAAGATATATAAGGTCAAAGCATGAAATTTTTTTTTTGCAAATGTCTATAATCATTAAATTAATAGTTGATTAAAAATTACGCAATTATAAGTCTATACTTTTTTTAGAAAATAATATTTTTTTTAAAATTTTTTTAGACCATTTATTCCCTGAATGAAATCTAAATTCTCATAAAGAAAATGGTCACCTCCGATTTTTATAAAAATTTTAGATAAGCATTACTATTGTCATTCTATATGAGATGAAAAAATTAGAATAGAGTTTACGACTTCATAGACAAAAAACTAATTAAAAAATATTTTTTTATACTATAGGTTAGGCCTATTCAAAAATAATTCGAATATTCGATTCGAATAATTCGAATCTAATTAAATAATCGAATACGAATAATAAATTATTTGTTTTATCTGAATACGAATAATCATTTATTCAATTCGAATAAAACGAATTATTCGTAATATTTAATAAATTGTTTAATAAATCTAACATTTGTCATAGGAAGAATGGGAGGATCTTATAAAAATTAAAGCTATACTATTGCCTTTATATGAAACTACAAATATGGTATGTGGGGAGAATTATCCTACTTATAATTTGGTTATACCTTATTATATTTTAATTCTTGAACATCTAAAAAATGAAAAACCTGGTTTCCATAAATCCTTTAACAATAGTTTCAAAGTAACAGTGATAAATTGTTGGGCTATTATAATTTAACTGCCGATGATGCAATAATAACCACAATATTAGATCCCAGGCTTAAAGTAGAATATTTTAAATCAATATCTGTTGATTATGATATTGATATATCCAAGAATGGACAAATTAGGTATTTAATTTACCCCCATTTAAATATGATTTTATTTTATAAGCTCATAATTATAACTGTCAAACAAATAAGGATAAAATTCAACAAAACAGGCTATACATTGTTTTTAAACAAAATAATATTCAACTGTGTGAAATAGATCTTTATCTGAGTGAACCAAGAGCAAAGAGTGATACTGACCCGTTAATGTGGTGGAAGGCAAATGCATATCGGATCCCCATACTCTCGAAAATGGCAAGGGATTATCTATCTATACAAGGAACATCAACTGCTTGTGAAAGGCTTTTCTCAAATTTATTGTCAAAAAACCGCATGTCATATAAGGAAGAAAATATAAGAAAAACTCTTTGCCTTAAAAATTGGCTTAAATTATAAATTAAATTAATAATATATATTTTAATTTTGTTTATAACTTAATTATATATTATTTTTTATCAGATTATTGATTATATATTATTATAATTTTTTCTGTTTAAAATCAAATTTGTAATAAAAAAATTTGTCAATATATTTGAGTATGATTTATTTTATTAAAAAAATTAATTCGAAATATTCGAATAATTCGAATCGAATACAAATAGTAGATTTTATTATTCGTACGAATTCAAATAGTAAATTATTCGATTCCGTTTAAACGAAACGAATATGAATAATGCACTATTCGATTCGAATTCGTTTTTGAATAGGCCTACTATAGGTATATATTTTAATTAACCAAATATTCTTATTATTTTTATATAATTATTTCAATATAATAACTTATCTACGACGTTCCTATCCAAGAAAAATTTTTATACTATATATAAACCCAATTTATATATTATAAAAATTATATTAAAAAATTATTTTCCTGACAATTGGGACGCCCAGTATAAAAATTGAACTTTTTCAAATATATGTCATCACTCAGATTTTTAGCGATCCCAGGAACATAAAAAACATACAGTGATTCCTCTGGGATTGAAACGTTTATATCAAATCGAGTTCGACAGAAACTAACTACAATAGATTTGGGGTATGGGGATGAAAGTATTACATTTGAAAATATATCGGGTTATGTGACATTGACATGCATATATGAGTCAAATTGGTGATTGGCTTTGGTAATGTATGGAGATGAAAGTATTGTATTTGAAAATATATCGGGTTATGTGACATTGACATGCATATATGAGTCAAATTGGTGATTAGCTTTGGTCATTAACAAGAATGAGAAAACGTAGCACCCTTTACTTAAGTAGGGTCCAATTATAAAAGCCTGGGGGAGGGGGCTTTGTTCCACAGACTGCCTATTAAAGACCCTTTGGTCCCTTTTCATGGTCTTCGGCAAGGTTTATCCTATAAATCATAGATTGTTCTATTTTTTCTTTTAAATACTTAATTGTTGTTAATTCTAACTAAATTTACACAAAATTTGATCATTTTTATCACTGATATAGGATATAAAATGATACCCTTTTACAATTTTATAAGATAAAAACATAATATTACTTATATTTTATGAATGTTATGAAAATAGAGGAGAAAAGATTTTCTTTCGGTGCTATGAAAATAATTGAATTCTCTACTAAAGCAAATAAACTAGAGAACGGAGTTCTCTTGCTTCTTTAGTTGGGATGAGTTAATCAAAAGTCAAAATCCAAGGTATGACACCTTTCGTCAAATAGCATTAAGTTGATATTTAGCCCTGATTGGATTTAACGATAATTTTTTTGTTTCCATTAGCAACAAGTTCTTTATACAGGGTTATTTTGGCTCAACTGGTTAGGGCTGGCAAAATTTGTGATTTTTTTATTTAAATCGCGATTTAAACTAAATACTAATATTTAATTAGAGAAATTACAAATTTAGATTTAAAAATATCATGCATCATAATTTTTTTTAACCTTAATATAATATTTCTTTATAAGTAAATTTCTTCAGGAAATTATTGAAAAGTCTGTTTTTGGCAAATTAAAATCCGACTTCCAATCAAAAATTTGTTTAAAAAATTTTTAACTAGTCGATATCAGTGAGTAGGAAAGAAAATCATTTTCTAAAACGAATACTCTTGTGAATATCCTCAAATAAAAGTGTAAACCACATTTAAAATTTTATTTTTCTGACTAATATGGTGATGGTTTTTAATTTTAGTTAGCTATTGTTATTTCCCAATTGGGTGTCCTGAATAATAAAGGAGAATCTTCTGTGAATATATATAGATTTTATTAAATCTAATGTTAAATATATGAATGTAAAATATATGAATTTGTATTCATAAATGTAGGAAGATATGGATAAATAGGTATTGTATATCATTTCCTGAGGTCACATATTAATGGTGAGAGAAAAGTATTATATTGACTTTTAATGTTCAATTGGCTAAATATAATTTAAATTTATTTGTTGAATTTAAAATGTAAAATTTTTAGATAATAACTTACTATTTATCTTTGATTATATTTTGCCGAATACTTAAGGCTAATTCTGCAACATTAGATTGAATATTTTGAAAATTAATTTTAATATTACATATGCCTTCTAATATAGAATCAAGAATTTTTTTAAAACAGCTATCATCGATTAATTTTAATGGTCTGCCATTAAAAGTGAACAAC